AATAGGTTAGTCCCAAAAGTAATATAAAAGTGCAAAATAAAGCCCATAATCATTCAAAACAGGTAATAAAATAGCATGAATGCTTCATAAATTATAGATATGTTGGATACATATCAGCCGCCCAACCCTCCCTCACTGTGGCTACCGAGCATTGGCCCTCTGTTCTTGGGGACATGTCCCTCGTCGCGGACCTGTTGGAGGCGCCCCTTCACGACCCCCACCACTGCTGCCGGTGGCTGCACCGGACTCGTCGGCTAGAAGGGACCGCTGCGTCATCCCCTGCCCCCCGCGGTCTAAGGGTCCCAAACGGGGCTGTTCGGCGCCGACTCTCATCACGACATTGCGGCGGAGCACCCGCATTGACGATTCGCTGCCACCAGGAACCCTGACCCCGTCCATCCCGGAGCGCGGGAAACGGAGGGTCATTGCTCGGTTCCTGGAATCACGTACCTCCATCAGCCCGCCTCCCGGTCTCCATGCTATTTTTTGTGCTCGAGTTGGTGTCGCTGGGGAAGCTCGCAAAGGTAGCCAACGACCCCGGGATTGTGGTCAGGGGGGAAAGGGTCCCCCTTAGTTGAAATCGACGCAATCCAGGCGAAGGAAGTGTTGGATGGTAAACTTGCCGTAACTTGCACTAACTGACCAGGGCTAGGGCCGTGGCTCCGCCCGAGGAAGGGTCCACCTCCAGGCCCGACCTCCCGTCTCAAGGGGAGACTAGTGCTCGTGGTCGCACTCGCTCAAGGACTAATGCTATGCGTCGGGGACAAAGTGCCTCCCTCATCCCAAGGATCAGGACCCCCTCCTCGGTTATCTAATGCAGACACTATTCTGGAATATTCGTGGCTTTGATCAGACTAGCCGCAGCCGCCAACTTGCCGAATACATGCCAGATGAGCGAACTCACACTGTTGCCCTCCAGGAAATGATGCGGTCTGAGTTTTCCCTCTTCGAGCTTAATAGCTTGAGCCCCGACCTCTTTGGCTGGCACTAGCTCCCTTCTAGTGGGAGCACACGCCACTCCGGAGGCATCCTTCTAGGGGTGAAGGACGCCTCCTTTGAGGTGGGAAGCATGGACCAGGAGAGTTTTTCTTTAGCATGGAGGTGTTTGAACGCTACATGTGCTTCAAGTAGGAAATCATCATTGTCTATGGTCTGGCGGATCACCGCTGCTCGTCCGCATTTCTTGCGGAGCTTAGTACCGAAGATCTCGAATGCCCAGTTGCCGGCCATGGTGGGCGGTGACTTCAATCTCATCCGCCACCCGGACGACCAACGCAACGGTAACATCAACTTCCCTCGAATGCAGCTCTTCAATGACTACATTGCTGATTCGGGGCTGCGGGAGCTGGACCCCATTGGTGCCCGATTCACCTGGACAAATAAACAGGTGTCCCTGACCCTTTCCATCCTTGATCGCGGTTTCATGTCGCCGGACTAGGAGCTCAAGTGCCCCTCGACCTTGCTCCGGGAGATCACTCAGATTGGGTCCGGCCATATCCCGCTCCTCCGCGGAGGAAAGGCCACACCCCCACCGAGGTTCCGCTTCGAGAACTTATGGCTTCAGCACGGTCCTATCTAGATGGATGGCAGCCCAGTCCGAGCCACACCGACACATCTCTGTCGCAAATGATTGGCACTTTTGTGCCAACTGCGTCGAGCAATTCATGAAATGGCGGGGCGCCAATATTGGTTGGGATCTCCGAGTTAGAAAGCAAAATTTGCTTTCGGCGACCCAAGCCCTGGACCTAAGGGCGGACTTGACTGGCCTGTCTTCGGACAAATGGATGCAGCGCTATGCGCTCGAGGAGGAACTCATGGTCATTTGCATGGATGAGGAGTGCTATTGGTGCCACCACGGTACACAACGTTGAGTGTTGCAAGGGACGCGAACACAACATACTTCCAAGCGGCCGCCAACGGGCCTAGACTTCGCAACACCATCCCCTTTCTTTGGGTGGGTGACACGCTTCTTGATGACCCGTCGGCCATCCGCGCCCACATGGATGGGTTCTACAAAGACCTATTCTCCCCGTCGGCTCTAGGTGGAGCGGCCCTCGCCCCGGATATTTGCCCCCCCACCAAATCTCTGCTGATGCCAACGTGGCTCTCATGGCTCCTTTCGAGGAGGATGAGGTGTGGGCGACGGTCAACGGCATGAACCCTGATTCTGCTCCGGGCCCCGACGATCTCCCGATGCGCTTCTTCCATGTGTTCTGGCCGGCCATGAAACACGAGCTTATGGCCATGTTCCAGGAGTCTTTCTTGGGAGTCTTACATCTATCACACCTCAACTACAGGATTATGACTCTCATCCCTAAGGTGCTGGGCGCATCGAACATCCGACAGTTTCAGACGATCACGGTGATCAATGTGGTCTTCCTCATTATCGCCAAGGCTTACACCAATAGGCGGACCTCTTGGCAGACACCTTGACACACCCCAACCAATCCACCTTCATTCAAGGCCGTTTCATTCTGGATGGGGTGCTTGTATTTCATGAAGTCCTTCATGAAGTCAAAAGCAAACGGCAAAAGGTTGCCTTAAGATCGACTTCCATAAGGCCTATGACACGTTACATTGGCCCTTCCTACGAGAAGTCCTACTTCCCAAGGGCTTCGATGACCGCTGGGTGACGCGCATCATGTAATTGGTGTCTAGTGGTCGCACTGCCGTCAACATTAATAGCGAGGTGGGTCCTTTCTTCCTCTCACTTTGTGGGGTCAGGTAGGGCGACCCCTTTATCCCCCTCTTGTTCACCATGGTGGTTGATGCCCTGGCCGCCATTCTAGACTTGGCCAAGGCGGGCGCCCACATCCGTGGCATCGTCCCGCATCTGGTGGCCCTGGAGGGGTCTCCTTCCTGCAATATGCGGATGACACGATTATCATGGTTGAAGGGTCCGACAACGATATAGCCAACCTAAAATTCCTCTTGCTCTGCTTCCAGCAGATGTCGGGTTTAACCATCAACTTCACTAAGAGTGAAGTTATGGTCCTTAGTTACTCCGCCGAGGAAAGTCAGAGCATTGCGGACCGTCTCAACTGCCCCCTCAGGGATTTCCCAACCATACATTTGAGAAGCTCCATTAGTGACTCCCACCTTTCGGTAGCGGATCTTCGGCCATATGTGACCAAGATCTAACATCGAGTGTGGCCTTGGCAGGGCAGGTGGCTCTCCCAGGTGGCTCGGACGATCCTGATCAACTCGTCCTTGTCGAGTCTCCCCATGTTTATCATGAGCTTCTATAGCCTCCATGAAACCTTGCACGATGAGATCACCAAATTCCTATCAAGGTTTTTTCTGAGCGGGAGAGGGAAACAAGCAAAAGTATCAGATGGTATGGTGGTCGGACATTTGTCGCCCCAAGGACCAGGCGGTCTTGGCATCATGTCCTCGAAGTGCATGAATGTTGACCTACTGTCCAAATGGTTGTGGTGTATCGCTAATATTGAGGGTGGGCTCTAGCTGGACATTATCAAGGAGAAGTACCTCCGCAACCATCCGCTTGCCTTCTGCCAATGCGCGGGAGGGGCCATAGTTCTGGGAATCCATCATCCAGCTCCTTCCAGTGCGGCGCATAGGGTCCTCAATCTCCGTAGGGTCAGGAGCGGCGACCCTCTTTTGGTTCAATCGCTAGGTGTCCGACGAACCCTTTGCAGCTAGATTTCCGGAGCTTTTCTCCATCTGTGTGACCCCACTTGTCTTGGTCGAGACTGCCCTTATTGATTTGGGGAGCCTCGCCTTCCGATGGCCTTTGGGCCTATTGAGCAGGTTGCCTTGGATGAGCTCCTAGCTTGTGTCGCCCTCCACACTCCCAGCCTTGCCCCTGACCGGATTAGGTGGTGTCTCGAGCCGAGCGGATGCTTCTCTAATCAATCCCTTTACCATGACATTGCGGTGTCTCCAGTGCCAGAACCCCTATATGCCATCTGGACAATCTGGCTTCCGCTTAAGATTAGGATTTTCCTATGGCAATGGATCCGCGGGAGGGTACCTTCAGGGGTGGAGGTGCTCAAATGCAATGGCCCAGGGAATGACAAGTGCCCTCTTTGCGATGTTGAGGAAGGTTCAAATCACATCTTCTTCAAGTGTGTGACGGTTCGTTTCCTTTGGAGTTGTTTTCGGGAAGTGGTAGGTGGCAGGTGGTGCCACTCGGACCTCCCGGAACTCTTTGAAGAGATTCAAGACTGCTCTACCGGCACGTGCCACATTAGGTGGCTTGGCGTTGGAGCGCTTGTGTGGACATCCGCAACAAGCTCGTTATTGAAGACTCTCCTCTGCGTCGCTCTTCTGACGCCATCTACAAACTATGTGGTTTTCTACAGCTGTGGAAGCCACTTAGCCGAGGACAGTAGCACGCCGCCATCGACCATGATTGCAGATCTTCGCTCGTTGGCTCATCGCTTGGCGCCCCCTCCCCCCCGCCGCAACCAGATTAGGCCCCTATTTGGCCTGGCGTTGTGGCCTGTGTTAGCCTTTTTTCTTTTCTCTTTAGGGCTTGTTGAGCTGTGCCCTCAGCATTAACCTTGCACTTTTTCGTGCGCTGTTTTTTTGTTTTCTTTCGTGCTCTGTTCGTAACTTGTGGTATCAGTGGTGGTGCTTTATTTATAAAGCGGGGCGTAAAGCCTTTTTCGGTAAATACTAAATCAACTTTCTCCTCTCCCATTTTATAGATGCATCTCATGTACTTGAATGGAGAAAGCGCTATCAAGTTATCTATGGAGTTTGTGACGGTTTATATTATCTTCACCAAAAGCACATCGTTCACCTAGATCTTAAACTTGCAAATATTTTGCTAGATGATAATATGATGCTGGAAGTTGGTGATTTTGGTCTCTTGAGATGCTTCAATGAAAATCAGAGCCGAATTTTACTTCAAAATTGGTCAGAACTCTGTAAGCTTGCTATCAATCTTGGAAACTCTCTTTTGTTATGTATGAATGCATATTGGTCCCTTTTTCTTATGAATTTGACTACATAAATACTCCTGTAGGGGATATATGGCACCTGAATTCTATGGCGGACCGATCACATACAATTTTGATATTTATAGTCTTGATATGATAATCATAGAGATAGTAACAGGAGAGAAGGGATGTCCTAATATTGACAAGGTAAGACAAGGTCGTTCCTATATAAAGTCTTGATTTCAAAATGACTATAGTATCATATTTCCATTTAGCCATAGGACAGTATCATTCTTGGATCACATAGTAGTGCGAAGCACAAATTAGCTGCATGGTATCAAGGCAACCATAAAATTTCTAAATACGTAGGAATAGTAATGTGTTACATAATGCATCTACATAGTACAATATATTCGTAATATGTTACTATGCAAGTTAATTTTTTTACATGCTACTTTCTCAAGATACCTTATCCCTATAGTTTTATAGTGGGTCTCTGTAAGTACCATTTCCTAGCTGAAAATGTTCCTCCTTTCCCAGTTTGAGTTTTAGCTAAGGTCTCACAGTGTCGGTGTGTACTTTCTGCTTGGCATAGTGATCTGTTAAGATTTTATAGCTCCTTTTTTTAATACATGTCTGTTCTTTTTACCAAAGCGTGGAAGGCGCTGATGAGTCAAGTGTGAAGTCTGCTATCACTTCGAGCCTGTTGCTGGGGCTGTTATGTAGCTTATCCATTAGACCTATTTGAAGAGGGTTCCGTTACTAACATGTTTACTTCCATTGTAGGTAACGTATTTGGTTTCAAAGCGTGCTCTACGTTTGGAGGATCTACGAATTCCCCCTACTTATTCAAAAACTTTCCAAGGCCCGCCTCATGGTATCCAAGTTGAAAGAGATAACTTGAACAAGTATGGTCGTCCTTTATTGGGATGTACTATTAAACCAAAATTAGGATTATCCGCAAAAAATTATGGTAGAGCGTTTATGAGTGTCTACGTGGTGGACTTGATTTTACCAAAGATGATGAAAACGTAAACTCACAACCATTTATGCGCCGGAGAGACCGTTTTGTCTTTTGTGCTGAAGCTATTTATAAATCACAGGCCGAAATCGGTGAAATCAAGGGGCATTACTTGAATGCGACTGCGGGTACATGTGAAGAAATGATTAAGAGAGCTGTATTTGCAAGAGAATTAGGGGTTCCTATTCTAATGCATGACTACTTAACTGGGGGATTCACCGCAAATACTACTTGGCTCATTATTGCCGCGACAATGGCCTACTTCTTCACATTCACCGTGCAATGCATGCAGCTATTGATAGACAGAAAAATCATGGTATGCATTTCCGTGTATTAGCTAAAGTATTGCGTATGTCTGGGGGAGATCATATCCACTCCGGTACAGTAGTAGGTAAGTTAGAAGGGGAACACAAAATGACTTTAGGTTTTGTTGATTTATTGCGTGATGATTTTATTGAAAAAGATCGTGCTCACGATATATTTTTCACTCAGGACTGGGTATCCATGCCAGGTGTTATACCGGTAGCTTCAGGTGGTATTCATGTTTGGCATATGCCAGCTCTGACCGAAATCTTTGGGGACGATTCTGTGTTACAATTTGGTGGAGGAACTTTAGGACATCCTTGGGGAAATGCACCTGGTGCAGCAGCTAATCGAGTGGCTTTAGAAGCCTGTGGGTCACATGTGCAGTCTGTATCCCGCTCCCTGCTCCCCTGAGCTCTGCGCCGGCCGCCACTCTGGCGCCGGTGGCCACCAACTACGCTGCCCTCCACTCCGAAGACAGCGCCCACTCCCTGCTGTGTCATGGCCTCTAGGGTCTCCCTCTCTGGCTCGGATTCCGACACCCCCCACCTCCCCCCCTGCGCGGCCATCCCCCTCCCCTCCCCTCCACTCGCGCCACGGCCGCAGCCCTCCCCTCCTCAGGCACTGCCGTGGGTG